AACTCAATTATAGAGGCCTTGAATATGCGATTAAGGAATTTGCATTAAATTCTATAGGTAGTGGCAAGTTTTGTGTGAAAAATGATTTTGTAAGTGAAATTGTAGAAAGAAATCTGGCAGGAAGATATAGAATGTATTGGCTACAGACAGAGGAAACACTAGAAGTTGAGTTGCTATTTAAACAAAAGTCCAGGAACACGGAAAAGAGTAGTTTTAAACTAGTGTAAAGGTGGTGATAATGGAAATACAAAGTACAACATAAGTGAGATGACAAAGGTAGGCTCCATGTAGGATTTAGTTAGTAAATAAAAGGGTGTGATACTGAACTGTATACTTAAGAAATGGTTAAAATGCCCAGCCAGTGTGGCTCCGTGGTTGAGTGTCAACCCACAGAGAAGCCACAAGTTTGATTCCTAACCAGGTCACATGCCCAGGGTCCGGGCTTGATCGCCAGTAAGGGGGGTGGGGGGGTGGGGGGGGCGTGTGAGGGTAGCCAATCGATGTTTCTCTCTCATTGATGTTTCTATCTCTCTATCCCTCTCCCTTCCTCTTCCTCTAAAATAAATAAAAACTTATTTTTTTTAAAATGCCCTACCCGGTTTGGCTCAGTGGATAGAATGTTGGCCTGAGGACTGAAGGGTCCTGGGTTCGATTCCAGTCAAGGGCACATACCTTGTTTGCAGGATCAATCCCCAGCTCTGATCGGGCCATGTGGGAGGCAACCAATCGATATCTCTCTTTCACATCGATGTTTCTCTCTCTGCGTCTCTCCCCCTCTTTTCCACTCCCTCTAAAAATCAATAGGAAAATATCCTCAGGTGAGGATTAACAAAAATTAATTAATTTTTAAGAAGAGAAATGGTTAAGATGGTCAGTTTTGTTATATATATTTTACCACATAAAGAAAAGGATAGGAAAGCATTACAAAGGAAAAGGCGAAGAGCCAAAAAAATAATTTTAACTAAAGTAACTGGAAGAAAAACAGTAAAGTCACAAAAAGGGGCTCCGCTTGGGAAAAGGACTTTGCATTCTTGTTAGGTTTGAAGTGATGCCTTTACTAATAAAGCCAAAGAAGATGTAGAATATCAGAGAGGCAAGACGGAAGCTCACTTGCTGATCTAACAAAGACAATCAGTGGGAAAGAGAAATTGCAGCTAACATAAAAACAGTAATATGCCAAAGCTGGTTTGGCTCAGTGGATAGAGCGTCGGCCTGCGGACTGAAGGGTCCCGGGTTCGATTCCAGTCAAGGGCATGTACCTGGGTTGCGGGCACATCCCCAGTGGGGGATGTGCAGGAGGCGGCTGATTGATGTTTCTCTCTCATCGATGTTTCTGACTCTCTGTCTCTCTCCCTTCCTCTCTGTAAAAAATCAGTGAAATGTATTTAAAAAACAAAAAAACAAAAAAAACAGTAATATGTCCAAGTACTTGGCTTATCAGTCTTTACGACATAAAAGAATGGGTGGACAATGTGACTTGCGACTCTACTTCATAGAGACTGGGGGGGCGGGGGGGGAGATCTTTTCTGAGGCACCCCCAAATCCTGATTACAGTAAAAAGCAGCCATTAGCACCACCTACTTTATTCATCTTATAATATAAATAAGACTATAATAGCTCCAGTAACACAATGGCACTTTGATAATCCTATAATTCGGAAACCAAATAAGGTTAACAGGTTCAGTTAGTTCTCCATATATCCCTTAAATGTTAGCAGTGAATTTTGTATGTGTTTTGCAGAATTACTAATTTTTTGTATACTCTTTCCTTTGAAGAATAACATGAATACAGAAAATTATATAAGCTTGGTAAATTTTCACAAAGGGAACACACCCATGAAACTAGTATCCAAAACAAGAAACAGAACATAATTAGCACCCTAGAAGGTCTTTCAGACCCCATTCTAAACACTTTCCCCAACCTTCAACAAGCATCATCAATCTCCTAAATTCTGACACCACAAATTAGTTTTACCTGTTTGTGAAAGAATCATAATGCATTCACGTTTAGTGTCTGGCTTCTTTTGCTCAGCAATGCATCTGTGAAGTTCACACATTATTACATGTAGTTACAGTTTGTTCATTCTGATCAGTACTCAGTGTCCATTGTGTGACTGTACCAGAAACTTATTTACCCATTCTACTGTTGATAGGCATTTGAAAAATTCCAGTTTGGACTATTACAATTAGCCATGCCATAAACATTTTTGTCCATGTCTTCTGGTGAGTATAAGCACACAATTCAGTTGTGTATAAATCTAGTAGTGGAACTGCTGAGTCATAGACATGAATGTATTCAACTCTAGTAAATAACAAATGAATTTTTACGGAAGAAATATTTTAAGATCTTTATAGGGAAATTTGAATGATTAAATTTTGAAGAAAGTGCTGGCTTCAAAAACTACTTTCAGGAGGGTAAACATATTGAAGTAGAATAGTTGATCCACATTGCTTCCAAAGAAGGCAATTTACTTTAGATTATTTTCACCTACAATTTAGCCTATGACAATAACAGTTAATCTTGTCCTTCCTAGAACTGATGATGCTAAAAATTCAGAAAAAAACTATTGAAGAGCCATCACTATCAATAAAGTAACCGCTTTCTTGACTTGTTACAGACTGCAACTGTTACCAGTCAGAATTCTGCAACAGTTAAGACTGTAGTCATTTAATCATACTCCCACAAATTGAAAGGGACTTCAGAATTAGTGTAACCTCCAGGTGGATGCCTTCTATATCAGTGATCATGATAATAAACATTTATTTAACCCTGGAACAGGAAAAAGACATTAGGCAAAAACTAAAGGTATCTGAATAGAGACTTTAGTTAATAACAATGTATCAATATTGGTTCATTAAATGTAACAAATGTACCATATAATGTGAGATGTTAATAATCCTATATAATCCTATATAATAAAAGAGAAACATGTAAGTTGACCGCCCCTCTGCTACACTTACCAGCCAATCAGGAGTATGCAAATTAACCCAACGAAGATGGTGAGTTAATTTGCATACACAGGTGCCGGGCGGAGAGCAGAGCCGGAGAGCCGGCGGCTTGGGAGGAGGTGGTTCCCTCGGTCACTCCCCCCAAGCCACGGGATGGAGAGCAGAGCAGGAGAGCCAGCGGAGAGTGGAGAGTGGAGCGGCTTGGGGAACTTGGCTCCCCAAGCCACCAGAGGGAGAGCAGAGAGGGAGAGCTGGCGGCTTGGAGGACTTGGCAGAATGGGAGGCCATGAGACAGAGACAGGGCAGGAAGGGAAAACCAAGAGCACAGGGAGCACCAGGAATTCTGGGAATAGTAGTTCTGGTGGCAGCCCCAGGACCAGAAGCGGAAGCCCAGAGCGCGGGAGCACCAGGAATGCTGGGAATAGTAGCATTCTGGTGGCAGATGGACCTCCTAGACACTAGAGCAAAGTGAACCTGGAGCAACTTACTGTTGTGGTGGGGGATGGAGGGAAAGCAAAGATTAGAGACATAAGTAAAATCAGAGTGTCTAGGAAAAATTAAAGGGAAGATATCCTAAAACTTCCAGGAAATCTCCACCAATGAAGCAAAGAAAAAAAAAATGCCTCTCTTGTTTTGTGAGCAACAAACCAAATGAGTTGGGGTCTCAGACAACTCACTCATATGATTGCAAAGACAGACAGAAACTCCCAGATTGGAGAGGACCCCCCTGAGGGATCCCAGATTGGAGAGGGTGCAGGTCGGGCTAAGGGACCCCCACCCCCCTCAGTGCACAAATGTCGTGCACCGGGCCTCTAGTATAGGAAATAAATGGGAATTCTGTGTACTATCTTCACCATTTTCCTGAAAATCCAAAAGTTTTAAATAAAATTTATTCTTTCTTTGTGTGTGTGTGTGTATGTGTGTGTAATTTCCTGGATACGTTTTATTTTTATTATTTTAAATCTTTATTGTTGAAAATATTACATATGTCCTCTTTTTCCTCCATTGACTTCTCCCAGCCCACCCCCGTCCCCCACCTTACACCTTCACCACCCTATTGTCTATGTCCATGAGTTATGCATATATGCATATAAGTTCATTGGTTGATCTCATCCCACCCACCCACCCTCCCCTGCCTTCCCTTGAGGTTCGACAGTGTTTGATGCTTCTATGTCTCTGGATCTATTTTTGTTCATCAGTTTATGTTGTTCATTATATTCCAAAAATGAGTGAGATTTTGTGATATTTATCTTTCTCCGACTGGCATATTTCACTGAGCATAATGCATTCCAGGTCCATCCATGCTGTTGCAAATGGGAAGAGTTCTTTCTTTTTTTATAGCTGCATAGTATTCCATTGTGCAGATATGCCAGTTTTTTAATCCACTCATCTGCTGATGGGCACTTAAGCTATTTTCAAATCTTAGCTATTGTAAATAATGCTGCAATGAACATAGGGCTGCATGTATTCTTTCTGATTGGTGTTTGTGATTTCTTAGGATATATTCCTGGAAGTGGTATCACTGGGTCAAATGGGAGTTCCATTTTTAATTTTTTGAGGAAATTCCATACTGTTTTCTCCAGTGGCTGCACGAAGTCTGCATTCTAACCAGCGGTGTATGAGGGTTCCCTTTTTTCCATATCCTCACCAACACTTGTCATTTGTTGATTTGTTGATGACAGCCATTCTGGCAGGTGTGTGGTGGTACCTCACTGTCATTTTGATTTGCATCTTGGAGATGATTAGTGACTTTGAGCATTTTTTCATATGCCTTTTGGCCATCTGTACGTCCACTTTGGAGAAGTGTCTATTTAGGTCCTTTGCCCAGTTTTTAATTGGATTGTTTATCTTGCTCTTGTTAAGTTGTATGAGTTCCCTATAAATTTTGGAGATTAACCCCTTATCAGATGTATCATTGGCAAATAAGTTCTCCCATTTAGTGGGTGCTCTTGTTATTTTGTTGATGGTTTCTTTTGCTGTGCAGAAGCTTCTTATTTTGATGTAGTCCCATTTGTTTATTTTCTCCTTTGTTTCCATTGTCCTAGGAGACGTATCAGTAAGATGTCTGAGATTTTGCTGCCTATGGTTTCTTCTAAAATTTTTATGGTTTCACATCTTACATTTAAGTCTTTAATCCATTTTGAATTTATTTTTGTGTATGGTATAAGTTGGTGGTCCATTTGAAATGATCATAATCTGCAGATTGTAACAGACCTGCTAACCTCCTCTCAGAATGCAATCAAAATGCACTTTAAGAGGTGTTATATGCCCACACACGCATACATATACATAGACATATACACTCTTTTCATCTACGGAGTTAGATACATAGTCATATGGGGGAAGCATTCTACCTATCCTGATTTTGGTTTTGCTCCTAGCAATGACATTATGAACAAGGCTCAGGCTTCCTTTTTCATTCCAACTTTTCTAACCTTTTGAGTATACACTGTAAGTACTTAATCATTAAAAAGCAATACCCTAGTTATCTTTAAACAATAAAGTAAGAGCATCCAAGCTTCAAGTAAAGTCAAATCTTCAATAAATCAAATTTTTGTGGTTTAAATCACTGAGTCTTTGCTTTTACTTCAGGGATGAATAAAGGGAAACAAAATAGACTGTGCCTTACAGCTAGCAGGGAAAACAAGCAGCCCTAATATGGTATGAGAGCTACTGGAAGGACCTCTAGGAAAGAAGGCAGGAGATCTAGCCTCTACTTTGAATTCTGCCACTAATCTGCTCTGTGGTCCTTGAACATTTTCCTGAGCACCTTATCACTGCTTGGCTATGCTAGATATCCTAGTTAAATCTTTTATCATTATCTGTTCTCTAAATCTTTAGAGTGTCTAGAAAGAAAAATAATATCCTACCACTGAATGAATGTTTACATCTACTGAGGGATAGGGGCGGGGAGATAATACAATAAAAAGTGGACTACTGTCATACATAGCTTTCCTCTTCATTAACCTGTATTAGTAATCCCACCACTATATACATTGCAAATGTTACTTCCTACTCAGCATTATGACACAGGCCTTGGCTTTCCCTTTAGAAGACTATTTGAATTTAACTGTGGTTGTAGAAAGTTTATATCTAAATGCAACTTGAAGTTTGGTTCTTCTATAGCATGAGTTGGCCAATTTTTTCTTAAAGAATCATATATTTCAGGCTTTGTTTCTGTCACAACTCAACTTTGTTGCTGTAGTGCCAAAAGCAGCCACTGACAATATGTGAACAGATCTACTTGTGTTCCAATAAAACTTTACTTACAAAAATACAGTAGTCCCAGCTATAGTTTGCCAATCTCTTCTCTGTAATATCAGGGGAAGGAACATCAACTGGCAAGACTGATTTTGTAAAACTACATCATGAGTTCACACTGAAATAAACTGAGGTTTTTTTTTGCAGGAAGCAAATGCTTACGAATCATGATCTTCACATACCTGAGAATGTTCAAGTTTCCCCTGCGTGAACAGGTCACATCACCAATACCTAAGACAGAGCAGGAAAACACTCTCCCTTACATGGTTGTTATGACATAACAAGGGATGTGTTAATTTATGTAGCAAAATTTACAAGGTGACCTGCAAAAGTAAAATACCAGGTTTTAGCAACTTTAGCAATAAATACAGAAATCCAAACCTCATTGAGGGCAAATATCACTTCTATATAGTAAGTGATAATTCAGGTAAGTGTCAAGGTCATTAGCTTTCCTGGGAGAACTGTTCCTTTTCCATACAACCCAGTTGGTTTAGACCAGTAGACCCTTGGTCATCCATAATCTGTTAAATTTCCAAGAGGCCAGAGTAACTAACTGAGCTAACACAAGTTCTGACTGATTCTTAGATGGGACAGGGGTTGTTCATCTATACACGGTCTAATCAAGCCAAGATCAGATCAGGTCTACCCTGCTAAAATGTTTCATTCTGCAATAGTCACTGCGCTAAATTCAGCACCATGTTGGCTACCAGGTGTTCAGTAGCAGGCTGGAGCAAAGAGCCAACCCACAAGGATCAAGCAAGTGCCTTTTTAAAAACTAATCTTAAAAAAATTCCTCTACATGGCTTTGCAAAGTAAGCAAAAACCATGCCAAATAGTAAAAAAGGCACTTACTTGACTCCCACAGGCCAGCTCCACACTCTAGCAGCTAAGATGTCACTGGCATGGTACATGGAGAGTGAGGGTAGAAACGACATCTTGCCAACCACTGTAGGAATGGTAGTAAAAGACCTAAAAGAATAGAAAAAAGTAAAGTCAATGTAAAAGGAAAAGGCCCTCCTGAGCCTGGTGACATGGATACCTCAGTATATAATGCCAAAAAAGAAAAGAAAATGTGAAAAGATATTACTTAGGTCAATCTTAGCTGCCAGTTGGTTATTATTACAGTGACCCTTAGGACAAAAGGGAACTTTTAAAAGAATGTGAGTTATAACCTAGAATAAATCCAGATTGATTACAAGAAACTAAAATATGCATTTTGTCAGCAAAAATATTGACTCTTTGGTAACCACATAGTAAATTCATACAGATGTAAAAATAGAGAATCTAAAGCAACAACTCATAAACCAATACTTCTAAAAATTATTTTAAAGAAGGGAAATTTTTTTTTAAAAAGGATTTTTTTTTTTGCCCCATCTCTATGCATCCAGCATTCAAAACACAATAAAACTATAATAAACAATAAAGAATAAGAAATGTTTTTTAAAACTTAAGGGTACCCTGGCAATAGAAGACTCAGGCTTTCCAAATTCATTCAGAAACTTTCACTAGTTTCAGAAACAAGTTTGCAAAACTTGTTCGGTGCACTAAAAAAAGCTCTGATCCATTTGCCTAGCCCAGCCGTGGGCAAACTATGGCCCGCGGGCCGGATCCGGCCCCTTTGAAATGAATAAAAATAAAAAAAAAAAAGACCGTACCCTTTTATGTAATGATGTTTACTTTGAATTTATATTAGTTCACACAAACACTCCATCCATGCTTTTGTTCCGGCCCTCCGGTCCAGTTTAAGAACCCATTGTGGCCCTCGAGTCAAAAAGTTTGCCCACCCCTGGCCTAGCCACACAACTCTCTGGTTTAGGAGTTGTTTCAAAAGGCTTGACTCAGCAAATTGAGTAAGAGCTCATTCAAAAATAACAATGACAATATTTTTAAAAGTCTGTTCACAAACCACTACCTCCTCTCCTCATACCTACATTATTTGTGGGTAAAATAATTGTGAAAAAATATACAGGGGGGCCTTGACTTACGAATGTCCCGACTAACGAGTTTTTCGAGATACGCGCCCTCTCTTGGCCGACTTTTTGCTTTGAGTTGCGAGCTAAAATTCGGGTTATGAGCCAGCTTCAGATACCCCACTGCTAGTTGGCGCAGCGAACGTCACAGTGAACACCACAACATCAGCCCAGCATCACGTGTCTCACTCGTTCACTTTAATGATTTGACATACGAGTAATTTGAGTTACGAGCTCCATCATGGAACGAATTAAACTCGTAAGTCAAGGCCCCACTGTATATTTGCGTGATTTGTATGAAAAGCACCAATACTAGTGAAAAAACAAAAATCATTCTCAATTAGCAATGCCTCATCTCCTCTTTTTAGCTAATCATTCCTACCAAAAAAGAAATATTTTCTTCTGCTTGCAGGTCCATTCAGCATCATTCCCTTCAGAACCACAATGGAAGAAACAGGAGGTTAAGCTTAATCATTCTTGAGGCACAATAATTTATCCAATAATTTGAGTTTTCATTCTAAATCAGTTTTAGCCTAAAGACTATTCTTGCATTATTCTAAATGCTTAAAGTTGGATCACATTTTAAGATAGTCTGGTGATTCAAACTGTGCAGTACTCAATTAACTTAATTAGAATGGGATATTCACTGTTAGTAGCAAGCAAATCTGACCAGACTACATCTTTGGTGCCTAACTAACATTTTCTTCTCAATTTCGGCTTGTGTTTGCCTTACCTTGGCAACAGTCCCTGGAAAGCATCCCATTTATTAGTGTTTCCCTTGCTGCATCAGCATTTCTGGTTAATGCACTACAGCAAATTGTTTGGAGGGACAACCTGAATGAAGCTCTGTGCATGTATTTTGCAAAATTTTCAATCCATTATCAAAGATGTTAAGAAGAAAAAATCAAAGAAGAAAAAACATTTATCAGAGATTGCCTTTTTAAAACAATGACTACAATGTAAGAATATACACTGGCAAATATATATATGATTTATTATTGAAATAAATATTTCTTTCACACCAACTACCTGACTCAAAAAGAAGTAACTCCCCTCATTGCTAGACCTTGTTTTGCTTTGCTCCACCAAACCAAGACACAATTCGAGAAGTCTTTTTACCACTTAAGACATATACCCTTTTGCAAAATAAAGATGTTCCAAATTGCAATTTATTCCAAACACACTGAAAAGAAACAATAAATAAATGCCAACAAGTTTCCATCAATAGCTTGTCTGCACTTGAAAAATCTGAGAGTTTTTATACAGTAAACCATGATTTTGCTGCAGCAGCCTAATCCCTCATAAGCTTACTGTATTACAGCAGACGCTGTTCTGCATTTTACACAAGACATGTTCATCTGTGTAATGAAACATTACTCTTCTCTGTCTGCTCTTGGGAAGTAAAAGGGTTTTCCCAGGAATGTGATAAATGAGGACATTCCACACCAAAAAAGGAAACTGGCTGTTTTGAAAGTCAAAACAACATTCCCAGTCTAACTTTAAAAATGATATAATATATTCCTCTTTCCTACCCCCTCCCAAATATTCAGCTAAAAAGACTTTCAGTCAACAGAAGAATGGTTAAATATGTGAAATAGAGAATGAAACCCCACAAAGAAATAAAAAATGAATGAAGTTTAAATATTTAAAGCATTAAGCAGAGAACAAATTGCATAAGGATACATACAGTCTAATATCTTCTTAAATAAGGTTTAAAACATGCTTACAATACTATATAATGCATATATACATATATATATATATCATAAACACATGGAAATGGTAAATACCAATTTGGAGAGGATGTGACTTCTGGGAGAGAAAACAGGAAATAGGAAGGATACTTGGGGCAGCAATTACAGCTGTAGTTTTAATTTCTCAAGATAAACAAAATATGGTATTCTACTTGTTTTTACAGACGTAATTTAAAAAGACTTTCCCCCTTGTCTGTTTGCCTAAACACAATATAATTTCCTTCTGAAGGGACTCTCTCACCACCCATCCTCCCAAAAGAAACCCTCTGGTGACAGAAGGGCCTTTCCAAGTGAGCTGCTTTGACAGCCTGCTGATCAGTAGTAACCTTCTGTCTTCTCTTCCACTAGTGCTATTACTTTCTGATACTGGCTATGATGTGATCTGGAGATTCATAACTCAGGACTCCAGCTTGTCCCTATTTTTAATCTTACCAAAAACTCATTAGAGGCAAGAAGTTTATTATAGTTGCCTTTATTTTCCCCCCTTTACTGCAAGCATTAAAAAGAAAGCCATTATATATTTAAAGCTCACCTGACTTTGTGGCACTTGGCCAAACTATGAACTTGATTTCATTTTTACTCAAACACCAATGCAGAATGAGATATTAAAATTAAAGAACGTACTTCCTGGAGTTCAATTCTCCATCTAATAAATGAATATTCCAAAATTCTGCAATATGTTATCATGTAATTCTGATTTAATATCTCAACTATCCTTAGACATTTCGTTTTGAAGCTTAAGTCAGAACTGGAAGTGAAAAAAAAAATTTCATTTTCTTTGGGTTAAAATAAGGACAAAATAAAGAAACAAAACCCAACTATTAATTTGCACACATGTAATAAGACATTTACACAGAGTATACAGATTTCCCTCAAAAATAAAAATAAAAAAATACCACCACCTCTTCCTGATTAGAAAACTCATTTATCCTGTCTATTCAGTGCTTCTAGTGCCAGCACTTAGATCAGGGAAAGAGAAGTAAAAAAAGAGGAAAACTGACAGAGACAGATATAAGCTGGTATTCTTCTGTTTACAAAAGAAATGCATTTACATTAAAATAAAAAACTTTCAATCTTCTCCTTAGGTTTTTACTACTTCAACTCCAGTCAATCTATTTTTAAATACTTCTTTAAAGTATTCTGATATCTATACTGTTTTAAAATGAAAAATGGGTTTTTATCACACTTGGCCATTTGCCACAGCCCTGCTGCATGGCAGCTAGCAGAATTCTGGCAGTGCAAGATACAGGATACAATGGGGGCAGCTGGAAATACAGAAGATTAGTTCCAAAATAAACACTTCCAAAAATCTGTCATCTTTGTAAATATATATATGTAAGAAACCCAGAGTTGGCAGCATCTCTTTCAAATAGTTCCTTTCTCCCTTCTGCAGTGCCTAGCCCTTCATTCTTCCCTCTTCCCCCTACTCCAAAAACTTGCCAGGTAAATGCATTATCTTAAATTACGTATAATATAATAGCACTACAGTCTTTTTCATTACTATTTTAACTTAGCATTTTACATAGTCCTGCTTGTTTCAGCACCATCGGTGACCTCTTTTAAGATTATTAGCTGCTGCCTGAATCAAAGAAAAGCAAATCCTTCTTCACATTTCTGCGATTCCCATCACTGTAGTATCCAGGCACAAAGAACAAGATGACCTACAGCTGCATTATTCACAGAGTGGAAGCATTTAGAACAGTGGTTCTCAACCTTGGCTGCACATTAGAATCACCTGGGAATCTTTTTAAAATCCTGATTTCTGGGCCTCATCCTCCGGAAATTCTGTTTCTTTGTTACTAATGTTGTGGCCCCATCCCATAACAAAGAAATCGAATTTCCAGAGGATGAGGCCCAGAAATCAGGATTTTATAAAGATTCCCAGGTGATTCTAATGTGCAGCCAAGGTTGAGAACCACTGCTCTAGAACTTTTTAACTCACTGACTCATTTATCCAACACTGGCTATCTATGTTCTTGACACTATTAGGCTCAGTTCACAGTGTTTGGGAGAATAGACGACTAGGGGCACTAATCATTTATTAAGGTTTCACACTCAGGTTGGCTGGCAACTCAGAATTAACAAATTATTAGAACAGTCCCATATTCCCTCAACATTCCAACATTAACTGCTTTTTTCCTTCTCCCATCTCTCTAACTCTGGAGTCCCCCACACATCCTCACCTCTCCCCCCATTCACTGAGCAGTTTGGATTGAAAAAAGAAGATGAAAGGGGAAAATGGGACTAAAAGCATAATGACCAGTTTCAGAGGAACGCAGGATAAACTGCTCATCAAAATGTGAGAAGTAACAATGTGAACTTCCTGAAAAGGAAATGGAAGGCTATTTTTCTTCACTTCAAGCCTTAACCCTTGTAAGAATAAGCAAATCATTACACTTGAGTTTATAATTTTTACAAGTCACCCAATAACATAAAATTACTTATAATCCTATATAATAAAAGCCTAATATGCTAAGTGTCCAGTCGGCCGGTCGGCCATTCAACCAATCAAAGCATAATATGCTAATGATATGCTAAGGCCGGTCAACCGCTCACTATGACATGCACTGACCACTAGAGGGCAGACAGTTGACTGGTTGACCAGTCATTATGACATGCACTGACCACCAGGAGGCAGACAGTCAACTGGTTGATCAGTCACTATCACATGCTCTGACCACCAGGGGGCAGATGCTGTGACCGGTAGGTTAGCTTCTGCTGGGGTCCGGCTGATCAGGACTGAGCAAGACGGGCCAGACACACCCTGGAGCCCTCCCGCGGTCCCTCCCCAGCTGGCCAACCTCCCATGTCCCTCCCTGGCCCCAATCGTGCACCAGTGGGGTCCCTCAACCTGGCCTGCACCCTCTCACAATCTGGGATCCTTGGGGCATGTCAGAGAGCTGGTTTCGGCCTGATCCCGCAGGCCAGGCCAAGGGACCCCGCTGGTGCACGAATTCGTGCACTGGGCCTCTAGTGTTTTATATAAAAACTAGAAGCCCGGTGCACAAAAATTCATGCACTGAGGGGGGGGGGGTCCCTCAGCCCAGCCGGCCACCTCTCACAGTCCAGGAACCCTCAGGGGATGTTCTACTGATGGCTTAGGGAGCGGGCCTAAGCCACAGTTTGGCCTTCCTCTGCAGGAGGTGACCTGGGCTGATCTGGGGAAGGCGCCACCCCCATCACCCCGCTGCTGCTGCCACTGCCAACCGCGGCACCTGCAAGGCCTGAACCCTGGGTCTCACAGCCGCTGGGGCTCACAGCTGCCTGAGCCCATGGCTGCCTGAGCCCCGAGCCTCGCAGTCGCCAGGGCTCAAGGCTGCCTGAGCCCATGGCTGCCTGAGCCCTGGGCCTCGCAGTCGCTGTGGCTTTGTCCAGATGGACGTCCAGAAGATGTCCACCCTAATTAGCATAACACCCTTTTATTATTATAGATGATATATGATTAGGATTAAAGAAGCCCTTAAGGCTTATCTAATCAGACATCCTTACTTATTAAAACCAAAAAGGTTAAGTCACTTGCCCAAGTACAAATAGCAAGTTAATGGAATAGAAAAGAAGAGAACCCTGAGCCTGACCTTATTATACCACATGGCTCCTAATCCTCTTCAATTATTTACCTTTATTTTGGTGACTGAGAAGCACAAACACATACCTATTAACACTTCCTTCTCTTCATTTCCTTAACTATTTCACAAAACTAAAAGAATTCTGTAATGGTACTGCAATCCTTTGCTCCCATGAGATTTAAAAAAGGTTCACCAACTACATTGCAAATACAATCTTTTCTGGTAACATGGATATTGTGATATCTCTTAAAACCTGTCATAGTTATCAAATAGATACTTATCTTTATTATAATACCTAGAAGACCACAGATATGTGCTTTCTAAAAAAAATAACCAGTAAAGTGCCTGGTCAATTAAAATTCTAGAGAATCACTCCAAATAACTTATTCTCAATTACATATTTATTTATGTACCTCTCTTGAGAAACTGGGGTAGCAGAAGCAGTATGAAACTCACATCTACATTTCTAATGTGGAAAGGAAGATTGCTAACCCTGGCCAGCATGACTCAGTGGTTGAGTGTCGACCTATGAGCAAGGAAGTCACAGTTCGATTCCCAGTCATGGCATATGCCTGGGTTGTGGGCTTGATCCCCAGTGTGGGGCATGCAGGAGGCAGCCAATCAATGATTCTCTCTCATCATTGATGTTTCTATCTCTCTTTCCCTTTCCCTTCTCTCTGAAATCAATAAAAATATTTTTTTAAAAAAGAAAGATTGGTAAAATTTTACTGAGAAAAGATTTCATGCTTATGAATAACTACATTTTTTTATTTTTTGCCTTTTTTTAAGGTAAAAAAATTAAATACCATCATACATACAAAGTTCAATATCCCCCTAAAGGGAATCAAATATTACAAAAATGAAAAGATAAGGAGAACAAAGTCAAAGAAAATTACTCAAAAGTATTTCTCTAATTAATAAACATAATGTTAAGAGTTTCTGCTTTGGGAGAGTATAACACAGAACACACACAACAAAGGTTTGTTGAGTGCTCAGTATGCTATGTGAACTTATGCATATCACTGTGCAAATCTTCCAGATTCTAATGGCATGGGGCAGGGGAGGGGAGGCAAGAATGTGGGGATAGGGTGGGCATCTAATTTTTTATATAAATTTAAAAATCATTTAAAAATAATTAATCCAGGTCAGCACATTTTTATGTATAAAAGTAGAGGAATAGAAAAGACAACCAAACAGTATGTAAAGAGAGACACACACAGTTTCAGTGCCTGAAGAATAGAGTCAGATAAGCTTTGAATTATATGGACTTTCTTTTGTATC